AGCTTCGTGCCGTTGTGAAATTTGTGGTTTTGCTATGTGCGCTATTGTAGAGTTTCGAAACTATCATAATGAGGGGCAAGGTTTGGTGATTGGCTATGACTACGAGTTCAAAAATAATAATTGGACTAAAGTAATGCACCGTGGTACTTTAAGGGGTTGGGACTATGGCACTGGACCTGAATTTGTGGACTCGCATCACGTTTTCCTGGGTTTTGATACTCGTCCAAAGTTCCAAACAAGAATGTCTGACTTCAAAACTTGTACCATCAAATTTTATGTTGAGGATTTAAATGCCAAACGCATAGGTTTTTGCAACGTGAAGAAGTGTGGGGCTAGTTTTATTTATAAATCGGAAGGTTTATGCAACGTGAAACAGTGTAGGGCTCGTTTATTTATGAAGGGAAAAAGGATTCCAGTTGAGAAGGTAAAGAAAGAGAAAAAGAGGGAGAAAAAGAGGGAGAAGGAGAAAGAGGAAACACACAGCAAGAGATTGAAATTTTCGAATTTCTTTAAAGGCGAATCCAGCTCAAGGTAAGTAATAAAACGCCTCATATTATAGTATCTTATATATTATGTCCCTAGATGTTTGGTTAATTTTTAAGACTTAAATTTTTATATTGGTGAGTTCACTATCTCGACCCAGTACATCATTTTGTTATTTAAGTCTTATGCTTCTAAATGTGTTTCTTTTGGGTCTTGGTTGTGCGTTTGTGGTCAGTTTACTATGTTCTGGCTTGCAATTTGGTCCATAGATAGGGAAAATATTTTTAACTTCTATCATACTACTGGAATTCATATGTCTACAGATTCATATGTCTCCTTCAATGCACATTTACTTTCTTATTGTTGAAAAACGTCTCTTATATTCCATGATGACGAGGAATGTCTTTGTAGGCGAAATTTTCTCCATATTAGTAGACTCATCAAAGTTTAATTCAGTCATCAAGCCTAGCTAATGGACAATGAATCTTATGCATCAATCATACACCTTAAACCACATCTCTTTTGGCAATACATCTGCCTTCAAAACCTTCTTCCGCAACAGAATGGGCTAGAGCTCACAATTTTTTTAGTGCTGCATAAAGAAATTATGAGTATAATTTTTAGTTAAATAAACCATGTTTATTACCAACAGTTACTGAAAGCAATGAAGGTGCAAAAATAGCTGTAGTTTGAAGACGGATTGAAGTTGAAGAAAAGGGATGAAGAGTGGAACAATGCAAAGTTTCAAAAATCAGTTGAAAAGTGGTTATCGCCTATCTGAACAGAACCAGTGACGGAAGCTGTTAAAAGTCGATTGTATATATCTAACGGAATTGTTCGTTGCCATCAGTTTGTCTTAACAAAACTCTGCGCTTTGATCAAGAAAATACGCACAGATTGCAGCAAAAGAACTAGTTGTTAGTTAATGAAAATCAGTTTGATTTCAGCTGAATTTCTTTATTAAATCTCTCTGTTTAAAAAAAAAAAAAATTCACTCTTCCGCAACTATGTCTACGTTGTCCATCTGTTTTTATGCTTTTGATTTTCTAACAATCTTTAGGTATTCATAGACTCTTAACGGTTAACTCCAGTTACGTCAGTTTTCTTAAACCATTTAGTTTGTTGATTACATCAATTTTTCTAAATATACTAGGATTAGAAATTTCCTTTTATTCTAAGCCATATCTTCTTTTTATACTAGGATCACAAATTATTTTTCTAACAAGCATCTATCTACTTCAGATATTTTATTTCATCTATCTTAACCCTTAATTTGATTTGCTTCTCTAAACATAAATACATATACAACAATTTTTTATTGAGCTGGAATATGGGTGATATGATATACAATGGACATTCTCTAACTCTCCTGTATATTCACTTTTTTTTCGCCGTTATTTTATTTTATTTTTCATGCTTATGATGGATTTCTTCTGAATGATTATCTTAAGGGTCTGATAATAGATTCTCTATGCACAAGAAGACAAAATAAAGTATAATTTTTGATTCAATGATATCTTAAATTTTTTGTATTTTAGTGTTCTTAAAACAACCTATATATGATTTGACGGCGACGAAGATGATCATGAAGAAAAGATTAAAGATATACTATTCTTAATGAAACTTTAATAGACAATGAGAATTTTTTGTTATAAAATTTCCAAGTTTATTTATATATTCTGTTTTATGATGGATGTTAATTAAGTCTCTTTCTGCATATGGATGTTATATGCTGAATTATGTTCAATAATCAATTGATTACTAGTTTGCATGAAATTATTTAGCCTAATGATATATTGAATATTTCAGTTAGTATTTGATGAAGTTGAAATCCAAGACAGTTATTTCTTCAAGCATTTGTTCCTGGAATATTTGTCCTGAAGTTTTATACTTTGTTATGACTTTTTATCAAAACATGATCCTTATCATTTACCTGTCAACAAAGGGAAAGAAGGCCGTATATTAGCTTAGCTTAATGTCAGCTTATGTTACAGAGCTTATATTGTTTCAATAATTTTCTCTGATTTACATATCAACTTTAGTTATCTGGAAATCAGAGTTGATCATTATTCTTTTTAACCTAATTAAAAACTCTTGGAATTTTGACGTAGGAAGAATGTTTAGAACATACATTGCGGTGTTGTGGATATGATGAATTGTTGGTCCAAAGATTGCTGTGGAAAAGAATCAGCTTTTATCAAACTATTACATTTTTTTATGAAAGTTAGGTTTAATGTGATTCTTTTAATAGACAAATCAAGCTGAAGTCTTTGAATCGAGAATTGTTTAGTTTTGGAAGAGATTGAATTTGTTTAGTTTTGGAAGAGTTCGGCCTGTGAGATCTGATCTTTGTTATTTGCGCTTGAAATGATGCCACTTAATCAGGTTACATTCTGTCTGCTCAGGTGGACTCTTTGCTCATGCTGTATGAACTTGAACCTTTGTTGAAATTTCTCTTTCAAAAATGCTATCATATTCGTATCTTAATGATATCAAATTTACCAATTTTATTCATTTTGTTATTTTTCACAATCAATTTCAATTTGAATGTTTTCATTTAAAAATCTTATTTTGCTTTGTCCTAAATTGTAATTTTATTCATGAATAAATTAATAAGAAAATACTCAAAACGGGCTAGGCCATCTTTCTAGCCCATTAACATAAAAAATTAAAAAGCATAAGAGAAATAATTAAAAAGAAAAGGAAGGTAATGGAACTTTTGATTAAAGGCTTGGAAAAGGGATCATCAAGCCGGACATATTGATATTGATTCATAGCAATGATAGCATCTCCCAACTTAAAAAAATTTGATCTGATAAATAATTGACAAAGTTATTATAAATTAACACAGAAAAGAAAAGAATTGGACGAATATACCCTTATTCATAAATCACATGACAAAATAACTTGTAAAAATATACCTGAGACAACTCTAGGAATTCATATATTTTATGAGACGACTAACGGGCATAATAAAATAAAATCATTTAATTCTTCTGAATTCTGGAGGCAATATTTTCTTAGATTACAATTTCAGATGCTAAGAACAACTTTTAAAGTCCCTTAATTTAATAATATGAGATATTGAAAACAAAACGAAGCAAAAGAAATTCAAAGGGAAACATATTTTACTAGTGGGAGTGAGTCGGCATAATTAAGATACACTTTTTTTTATTTTTAAAAAAAGTAATGAGGAAAGCATAATCATTTTTATACTTTGTTCTTTCCTCTCTACCCTCATCATATTTTTTCTATAAAAAAGTTTAACCATAAACCTACTGTAATTTATCCTATATTATCTTTCAAAAAGTTTGCTAAAGGAGACAGGAAAAGCAAAATAAAGAGAGCAATTTTTCGAAAAAGCATTGCTATGAATTTCAAAAAGCTTAGAGACAAAGACTTGCTTTATGAAACGTTATAAAGAAGCCAAATGAGTTGCTAAGTGTCTTGCACGGTTAAGTTATATTTATAATAAAAAATAATGAATTTGATTAAAGGTAGTTATATCCTTTTCTTTTTCAACTTAATTCTTTCTACCCAAAATTATTTTTGAAACATTTTAAAAGTATTTAATTATAATTAAATAATGACTACTATTTTTTAATAATTCAAATCAACACCTATGTTATGCCTGGAAAATCAAGGGCTGACGTGGAAAATCACGTGATGGAGTGTGACCTACTCCCGTCAGAACGGTAAGCGCTCCAACTCGGTGTTTCATGCTAGAACAAAGCACATCGAAATTGATGTGCATTATGTGAGGGAGCTGGCTGCTGAAAAAAGATTGTCAATCCAGTATGTGCCTTCAGAATATCAAGTTGCTGATGTTCTGACCAAGGCACTTACAGCACATAAGTTTCACATTCTTAAAGAGAAACTGACTGTATTGCCTTCCCTACCTGAAGAAGAGTTACAGAGCTAATGGATTGGTTAAGACTGCCGTGTAACTGGTGAATTGAGCTATTATGAGGTGCCTTTTTCTGGTTTTGTAGTGTAAAAACAGATTGGAGTTTTGGTATGTGTAGTGAAGTTTTGTTTAAAGGGAGATATTGAGAAGAATGTGTAATGTGGACTGTTATTGGTTGTTTTGGTAAGTGTAGTGGAGTTTTGTTTAAGGGGAGATGTTGAGAAGAATGTGTAATGTGGATTGTTATTGGTTATTTTGGTAAGTGTAGTAGAGTTTTGTTTAAGGGGAGATTTTGAGAAGAATTTGTATAAAGGGATCTGTTTAAGTTTGCAATTTAGTCAAAATTGGGTGTATTTTGTAATTTTTACAAACAGCTAATACGCTGCGTTTTTGTATTAAGGGCAGTATAAATTAGCCTGCCCTGTTTCTGTTTTGTCAGTTAGTAAAATCAAGATTCCAGAAACAGTTTTCACTTTGCTCTTTTGCTCGTTCTTGCTTTGATCTTTCTTGTTCTTCGTTTCTTCAATAAGTCTAAAATTCTTCAGGTGATAATACTTTTTATAATCTTGAGATGCGTGGTTTCCTAAGATAGTTTATTGATTTCCCTGAGATGGCATACTGTTCTTCTTCTCATGCTTCTCCGTCTTTTACTTCTTGTTTTTCGTCAGCTCAAGTAACAAAGAAGTATGATGTTTTCATTAGTTTCAGAGGTGAGGACACCCGCAACAACTTTACGAGCTTTTTGTATGGAGCTTTATACAAGTCAAATATCACTGTTTTCATTGATAACGAACTGAATAGAGGAGATGAAATTTCACCATCTCTTATGAATGCAATTGAAGAATCAAATATTTCGGTTATCATTTTCTCAGAAGGCTATGCCTCTTCAAGTTGGTGTCTCAAAGAACTTGTGAAGATTCTTGAATGCAAGAAAACATACAATCAAATAGTTTTACCAGTTTTCTATCACATAGATCCATCACATGTGAGGAATCAAACTGGAACTTTTGGGCATGGATTTGCTACCCTTGTAAAACATTTTAAAGATAAGGAGCTAACTGATAGATGGAGGAATGCTTTAACAGAAGCAGCCAATCTATCTGGCTACACCGCAACTTACTCAACGTAGGTTCTACTAATCCTTTTCAATACTTACACTTTAGATGAAGTTATCTTTCATTGACTTATGTATATTTATTACTATTTGTTTTTCATATTTGTTAGGTCTGAATGTGATCTTTTAGAGAAAATTGTCAGTGATCTTTGGGATATATTGAATTACTTGTCCCCAGCTAATAACAAGGACTTGGTTGGAATACAACTAATAATCAATTACATAATGAGATTTTTAATACGCCTCTATGATTTGAGAAATGTTCATACACTAGGAATTTGGGGAATGGGCGGTATAGGCAAGACAACTGTCGCAGAAGCTATTTTCAACAAAATTAGAATTCAATTTGAAGCTTCTTACTTTGCTTTAAATGTTAGGGAGAAATCAAGGAGTCAAAATAAATTAGCTCTTTTGCGAAACGAACTTCTTTCTACAATATTACAAGATCGACATTCCAATATAGATTTCACCATCACAAAAAGAAGGCTTGGTTGTAGAAGAGTTCTCCTTGTGTTTGATGATGTTACATGTTTAAGTCAAATAGAATTTTTACTTGGAGATCTTAACAGCTTGGGTCCAGGAAGTCAAGTTATTATCACATCAAGGAATAAACAAGTTCTTAAAAATTGTGGAGTGCATGAACATAATATATACAAGATTGGAGGATTATTTCATTGTGAAGCTCTTCGGCTTTTTAGTCGGTATGCTTTTCGACAAAATTATCCAAAAATAGATTATGATGAGCTGTCAAACAGAGTTGTGAATTATGCTAAAGGTGTTCCTCTAGCTTTGAAAGTATTGGGTTCCTCTTTACTTGACAAGTCAAAAGAAGTATGGGAAAGTGCAATAAATAAGCTAGAAATAATTCCACATGAGGATATTCAAAAGGTGCTGAAAATAAGTTACGATGGACTAAATGATCTTGAGAAAAATATATTTCTAGACATTGCATGTTTCCTTAGATTGGAGAATAGAGGCTTTGTGATAGAATTCCTTAATGCATGTGACTTCTACGCAGAAATCGGAATAAGTGTTCTCATTGACAAATGTCTCGTAGCTATATCACATGACAATAAGATAACAACGCATTATTTGCTTCAAGAAATGGGTTGGGAAATTGTCCGACAAGAATCTACGAAAGATCCTGGTGAACGTAGTCGTCTATGGCATCATGAAGATATATGTAGTGTACTCGAAGAAAATACGGTAAGAGCAAAGGCAATTTCAAATATTTTATTCTTAATTTATACATGTGATGAGATTCAATAAAATGTCATCTTTGAGAATTTTTAGTTTATACTTGACTTTCTGCTTTAGCTTAGGTGATATATGTTTAGGTAAGTTTGCTGCAAATATGTTTTATATATATAATTAATTAATTTGAAAACATGTTGGAAAATATATCATTTTTAAGTGAGTTATTATTTGTTGGTTTTCAGGGGACTAAAGCAATTGAAGCCATATGTTTGGACATGTCTAAAGAAGTAGATATCAAACACTTACAACCTTCTGCTTTAGCAATGATGCGTAAACTGAGATTCTTTAAACTACATAACCCAAACTATGAAGAAAACTATATTAATAAGGTATTTGTTTCCGGAGGCCTTAATTCCGTTTCCTCTGAGTTAAGGTACCTTTGTTGGCATGGATGCCCATTAAAGTCATTGCAATCAAATTTTGGTCTAAAGAACCTTGTTGCTCTTGACATGCCTCATAGCAATATTGAGCAACTATGGACTAGTGTTCAGGTAAATGTTGATTTTATATATGGTTTGATATTTGTGTTGTAACTCTTCAATATTATAATTGGTGTTGGTGCTAACTTATTTTCTTTCTTACAGCTTATTAAGTTGAAACATATTGACCTTAGTTACTCCAAGTATCTAAGACGAATCTCAGATCTCTTCTTAACCCCAAATCTCGAGACTTTGATTCTTGAAGGTTGTACAAGTTTGTTTGAGATTTCTTCATCTCTTCAATGCCTTGATAAGCTTGCTATCTTAAATCTAAGGTACTGCAGAAGTCTTCATAGTCTTCCAACTGGTATTCGTTTAAAATCTCTGAGAAAAGTCATGCTTTCTAAATGCTCAAATCTCAAGACCTTTCCAGAAATCTCATGTGCTATAGAAGAGTTATTTTTAGATGACACTCTAATAGAAGAGTTTTCATCATCAATACAAAATCTTTCGAGGTTAGTTATATTGGATCTTAACAAATGTTTCATGCTTGAGAGTCTCCCGAGCAATATTTGTTTGTTAAAATCTCTTGAACATCTAAATCTCTCGCAATGTTTGAAACTTGTGGGATTGCCTGAGAACTTAGGCAATTTGGAAGCTTTGAAGGTACTTAAAGCAGAAAGTTTTGCAAAAACTGAAGTACCAGCATCCATTGTAAATTTGCACTTTTTGGTGGAACTGAATCTAACTAACTGTTGTATCGAGGAGTTACCGGAAAATCTTGGTCAGTTATCCGCTCTCGAAGTTCTAATTATTGCTAGAAACAATTTTGAGAGTGTACCAACAAGCATCATGGACCTTTCAAAGTTATTTTATCTTGACTTAAGCTATTGCAAGAGGCTTCAATCCTTACCACAACTTCCCCGTAATTTACGGAGTATAGATGCGCACAGGTGCACATCATTGGAATTATCATCGTCTCTATCAATTCTATTCAACAGAGATATTTCTCCAAGCGCTAGAGTTAACTTCAGTAATTGTTTCAAACTGGTGTGTCAAAATGAATTCAATGACACTGTGAAAGATGCTCTACAGAGAATTGATATTATGAGAAGGGTATGTTGAAAGATTAAACGATCTCTCTCACTTTGCTTAATTAATATGATCATCTTAACATTCAATTTCTTTGCTAATAGTACAGGAGATTAACTCCAGGCTTTTTTTTTTTTTTTTTTTTTTTTTTTTTTTTGGCTTTTACAGAGTTTTTTCCCGAGAAAAAGTGCTTGCATCTGTTTCCCTGGAAGGGAAATTCCAGGATGGTTTATCTTACAGAGTACAAGTTCTTCTATAACTCTGGAGCTCTCAGAATATGCTTCCTCTTGTGACTCATCTAGTCTTATTATGTGCGCTATTGTTGAGTTCCGAAATTTTCGTAATGAAGGTCAAGGTTTGGTAGTTGGCTTTGATTGCATTCTTACGAGTGGAGTTGAAGATGGTACTGTGCCACTGCCATCTGCTCATCTACTGGGACAGTGCCATGGCACTTTAAGGGGTTGGGACTATCGTACTAGACCCGATTGTATTGTCTCTGATCATGTATTTTTGGGATATGATTTTCCCATAAAGTTCCCTGGTTCTCTGTTGTATGAGATTCAGCATCACGGATATTGTAAGATGACCATCCAATTTTATATTGAGAATTTAAGTACCTATGAAAACGTAAATTGTTGCAAAGTGACAAAGTGCGGAGTGTGGAGTCCACACTTACGGTTGATGAGAAAAAATAAAGAGGAACCACCGTCGAAGAGATTGAGATTTTCAGCCGGAGGTGAATCAAAGTCGAGGTAATTATACTATATCTTTTTATCTTTCATTTCGGCTAAAGGTAAAGAAGGTAATCTTGGTAGAACTGATTTTGCTTGGTGAATAAATTGTCTCTATTTGTTGCAGCTTCATGGGATGGGAGAAGTCTATGCTTTAACGATATCGGTAAGTTGATCGAATAAAATCATGTTATTGTACACATGTGAACACATGATGTGATATGTCTTCTGTACTATAAACTATCTCCTATATCTTGCTGGTCTTGGTACGTCGCTCCACGCTATTCTTTTTTCGCAAAATATGAAGACTGTTTCTTATCGATTTTCATAATTGAAGTTCACAAATTGTTATTGATATTTTCATTCTTTATGGACAATGATTTATTATACTTTTAGTATTATAAAATAAAATTTACTATTTCTTTAATCTTTTGTTCCTCGAATATTTTGTCTGAGTGGCAGGGCCTGGTAACAAAGTTGTTGGCCAGAAATATCAGTTGCAATCTTCTCTGTTTTGACTGGGTATTCTTGTTCCGAAATATCAGTTGCAATCTTCTCTGTTTTGACTGGACACTCTTGTTCCCTTGGCTGCTGATGTGTCGTTAGGAGCAGGTTCTGTTTTACCTCCAATACAGAGCATTGCCAACCATGGCAGAACTTCTTCGAGTAGATCAATGGGCATATGGACGGTGGGTTCCAGTGACGATTAATGGTGGTTTTTGGCGGTGAGATTGGTGGGTTAGATTGGTTTCAAGTGTTAAGGATATTCGTCAAAGTAGCCTCAATCATATATGTTCCACCAATCAATCATGTACTTTTTTTGGGATTCGCCAAGATCAACCATTGCTTTTGTTTTCACTTCTGCTAAAGGTTGTGCAAAACTTACCATTTCCTCCAAGTCGTTTAATCTTTCCAATGTTTTTCCTTTTTTTTTTTAAAAAAAAAAAAAAAAATATCATCTCTGTTTCTCAATTTTGTTACACCAATAATGTCTCAACTGATTTTTCCTTTGCATTCTCCTTTTTGGTGAAGAATCAGGTCATGGGGGCACCGATGCTATGAGGCAAGAGCTAATATTGTGTGTATACATGGCCAATGGTTGGTCAACCAAAACAGAAGCGTCCAGCAGCCTATGTTGGTCTTAAAGGTTCTTCCCAAGCATATGGCCAAGCCGCCTGGCCGCCTGGCTTCCAGAATATTGCAACATGTTGTCTCATCTAGCAATCTTTCCATAAAATTTTCTCCATCTTCTAAACTTTATTTTTTAATTTATGCAAGTGTAATAAAGCCCCCAAAAAACCTTTTTCCAATATCAACTCCATCTAATATTAAGTTGATTTGTTGCATACTAATGTTTAGGGTCCAGCTCCAATTAAATCTCTTCTCATGGTTTTGATTATTAAGTTACTTTTCTTAACAAAATATTTGAAGTCAAATTCACTGTGACTGGAGTTCATCTACCAAGACATTGAGTTCTGGAAGCATAACACATCATACTTGCATGACGTTACAAATTTTGTTCTAAATTTATTCTTACGTGGTAATTGGTTCACAAAACAATTATAATAATTATTTATGCTTAACAGTTGAGAAGGGGAATGCATTTTCCATCCTAAGTGGTTACTCATATCTGGCACTTGGGGTTGGGGAGAGAATTTTCTTCTCATTAATTAATCATGGTAGAAGGTGAGATGCTTTATTAACATTCTTTACTGTGAGGGAATATCTGCTGCCAAATTTTATTTTTGAAGTATTTTATCTTTTTCTAGGATATGATTTACTAGAAAGTTTTACAACTGACACAGGTTTTCAACTGCAGATTGTTTTGGATTTCTACAAGAAACTGAAACCAGAATGAAGAAGATTTTTTATTAACCATCATTGCATAAATGTTCCCATTATATATTGTTTGAAAATGTTCAAATCAAACAGTTTGCTCCATCGTTGAAGGCTACATTACATAAAGAAATGAGATGGTAATGATCTGTGATCACATTCAGCTACCGGGACCTTCTTATCCTATGACAATACAAGTCATTTCTTTCCTAGTATCTGTTTCTTAGTCGAACCTCACAGACATTGGACTTCTTACAAAGTAGTTAGCCGAAACCCATTTTATATATCCTTAAGCATATTCACTAACTTTGTGACCTGAACCAGGATGACTGAATGTGACCGAGTATGTTGCCTTCGGGTTGACATTTGAGAAGTGAAGTCCCTTTGGCTTCACACTCACATCAACACTTTTTGGTGGAGTAACCGAGACAAAATAAGATGAATTTGGCTGACCAACATTTGTTACTGTCCTTGTGAAGGTCTGAGCCGATCCCAAGGTGACACAGAAAGAAGGGAAAGCTTAGCTGCCCCTCGGTTATGATTCGCATATGAGAACACATTACTGGTCTATGCACAATTAAGCTGACTTCCTCCTCGTTGTAATCCAGACCGCACAGTATGGATATAATCATTTGGTTTGATATCATAGACCAATCCTGGGTCATTTGTCCTCGATGGATTAACATGCCCTGCACCAGTTACGAAGATATCCGTAGGTTGAGGTCTTTCATCGAGAATGGTTTTACCTTCAATATTAAGGAGATCAGTGGTAGTCATTATAGCAGACTTAATGGCAGCTAGCGACCAGCAGGGATGAGAGCTCCTAAGCAAGGCTGCAATACCACTAAGGTAAGGACATGATTTTGATGTGCCAGACTCCATGTTAAAAGTTGTTTTTGATTTTGTATTGTCGTGGAGAGGGAAATGCCATGCAGCTAGAATCTCACCCCAGGACCAATATAATGTCTGGTTACAGAATACCTGGCCTGGCCAAGTTGGGACCTCTTGAGGAGAAGGAAGCAACAGCAGGAGATAGGGGTCTCCTATTACTGTTCCTTTAAATAAGATTGTTGCCATGGGTGTTGCTGTTACATTTATGTAAGATTTGATCTTAAGCCCAGCAACATGGCTAACGTGTGCTGCAGGCAAAACGTGGGCATCAGCTGCAATAGAAAAGGCATTATGTTCATCATTCATGTGAATCATGGCAAAACCACCAGCAAGTTTCACTTCTTTCCCTTTAGCAGTTCTATCAATATTCCCTCCTCTTTCACACAAGACTATTGGGGGTGGGGGGGGAGGTGGGTGGGTGTTGTGGCGGGGGCGCGAGGCTTCATTAGAAAGTGTGCCGTTGGAAGGGCCTGAATTTCCGGCTGCACAGCTTACGAATATTCCCTTTGAATTGCTGCAAATGAGCTTACTGCCACGTTGTCATTAGAAAATAGTGCTGAATTGATTCAGCTATTGAAGATGGCGTTGATGTACCCTGAATCTAACCCCGCAAGTACATCATGTTAGATTAAAACGCGGAAATTCAACTTTTTTTTGGGGGGGGGCCGGTAAACCGGGGTAATTTCCGTTCATCAGTAAATAAAAAAAATAATATAAACAAAAATAATGGACGATCGTCCCTAAATAAGGACGGAACGGATGTCCACATATAATAGATGCCGTTCAATCTTTAAATAATAAATTTTTTATAAATAAAATTAATGGACAGACGCCCGTCCATTATTGTTTCTTTTTGGTTCATGTCAACTTCTGTCTGCTTGTATGTTTCTTTTTAAGCTTTGCTCCACCCTGATACAAGGTAATTATTAATCTGTTGTTTGTGTTGCAGATCTGAGGATGAGGAGCATAAAACAGAACCTACAAAGGTTGATTCTCAAGAAAATGGGGTTACCACCTCTTTAGAAGAGGTTTCTCGGAATCACTCCAATGGTAGACCTGAGATCTTGAGAGAAGGCTCTGAAGCTCCAGAAGAGAAATTTTTACCCGAGGGTTCACAAGGTAGCTTAGAAAGTGGAAAAAATGTGAGCAGTGGTAATGTTGACTTCAATGAGGATGGAGGAGAAACAACGATGGAGAAGGCAGTAGAAAAGCAAGCGCAACTGATTGGAAAATATGAAGAAATGGAAAAGGCTCAAAGAGAATGGGAAGAGAGGTTTAGAGAAAATAACAACAGTACACCGGTATGCTTTTTTAGAACCTATGTGATTTTTAGCCAGTTAAATGCTCTCTCTTTTAACTGATAGCAAACAACCATTTGCTGTGTGTTAAAACTTAAAAAATAAAGAAAGAAGATGTGTTATTGGTGAAGCGGTGATTATCGCATTAGAAATAATATTCTGCCATGGAAAAAAAGTGAACCAGGTGCCATAAAAATAAAGGAACAGGTGTTATTAAATAGAGAAATGGACAGGCGTCCGCCCGTTATTTTTTTTTTTAAATTTAAACAATAGATGGACGTCAATCTAATATGGACGTTCGTTCATTCAGTAGGGATGTCACATTCATGATTTTTTTTTAAATTTTTTTTGTTTAAATTATGAACAAGCATCTATTATATGTGGACGGGAGTCTATTTAAAATGAACGATCGTCCAATAACAACGAATGGTCGTCCATATTTGATGGATGACCGTTCATTCGCAGAATATTTATTAATGTGATACATGACTCATCTGATTCAGTGAATACATCATTCGGTGTAAAACGTCGGTGTCCATAACATTTTATAATAAAAAAATCACAACCTTCCCTCAAAAGAACCTTGGACAGGCTCAAGCATCAAACAAAGCAAACAAAGGCCAGAAATTAAAGGATAACAAAATCGTTTACAAGATAAGCCCAATGGAAAGAAGGCCCAGGAAACTAAACAAAACGAAGCTATACAAACTATCCAAAAGAAAATTAGGCTGCAAGCCCAAAAGCCTAACAAAGAACTCGTCACTGGCCCAGGCTTTTCATGCTTAGGATCGCAGCCGAGAACTATTCTACACCCGTGACTTCTATGATCAAAATTAGAACTCCAGTTCTATCTTCTAAAGATCCTATCAAAAATAGCTTGACAATTATTACGAGCAACTCTCGATTCAAGGATAGCACTTTCTTCATAAACTAAGAAGAAGTTAATTTGGAGATTGTGTCGCCCCCCGTGGTGGTGGGCAGAATCGAAACTGGGCGGAAGTGGCTTCTGACCTACCCCCAAAGAACTAAATTAGCGATGAAATTTTATGAACCGTCCAAGGACTCAGATGGGGCGACGATCATTAATCCGCCATTACCGGTGGCTTTTTAGGGAACAAGACAATGGCTAAACTGCTTGGTTGGCCCATTCATCGATAAAAAGCTCCCCTTCCACATGGTTCAAATGCTTGTGGTATCAATGAGGTGATGTTGACCAAAAGATTTTTTTTTTTTTTTTTTTTTATTCTAATAATCAATGGGATTTGTATTTCTAAAACAAATATCTATATGATAAACTTTATTAAAATGTGCAGATGATATGGTGTGCCCCATATACATAGAATATACTCTCTTCTGCAATTACTTGACATGCATAATGCATTTGATCTCTATAAATAGATATGCCGGCCATTATACTAACACAACTCCAAATCTTTCTCCTCTTCTCTTCTCTTTCAAACTCTCTTTAGTTCAATATGGAGCTCATTTCAACATCATTCAAAATGGATTTCTCATACCTCTTCCTTTGTTATTTGGTTCCTCTTTTTCTCATTCTTGCTTCTGGCATTTGGTCATTGAAAACCAGGCACAAAAATCTGCCACCAGGGAGTTTCGGGTGGCCGCTTATTGGTGAAACTATTGAATTCGGGTCAAAACCAGAGAAGTTTGTTCTTGATAGAATGAACAAATACTCTCCAGATATTTTCAAAACCAATATTCTTGGAGAAAAAATGGCCGTAATCTGCGGTCCGAATGGCCACAAATTTCTCTTCACCAATGAACATACAATCTTCACTCCATTCGTTCCCTATTCCATGCAAAAATTGTTCCTCTCTTCAGCTCCTCGTGACTTGAATTTCAGAGAAACTGTGAAAAACGCAAGAGGAGCTCCAGGGTTCTTGAAACCTGAAGCCCTGGTGAAGTATGTGGGCGAAATGGATTCCATAACTCAACAACAAATGCAAACTTTATGGGAAGGGAAAGATGAAGTGAAGGCATTTTCTCTAGCTAAGTCTCTAACTTTAACTCTTGCCTGTCGTTTTTTCATGGGGACTGAGGATCCTGAGCGTGTTGCCAGGGCGATTTCCAGGTTTGATGATATAAAGGTGGGGATGCATTCTGTTCCTGTGAACTTTCCAGGGACGAATTTTCATAAAGCGTGCAAAGCTGCAGCTGCAGTAAACGAGGAGTTAATAAGCGTAATTTGTGAGAAGAAAGCTGCAATGGGTAGGGGAGAACCGATGCGAGATATTGTATCACATATGATTATGGCTTCAGATGGATCTGGGAAAGGCTCAGAGGTTGAGATAGCAGAAAAAATCTTGGGTTTGCTTGTTGCAGGATATAGCACTGTGGCTTCTGTCATGACTTTCTTCATGAAATATGTTGGAGAGAGGCCTGACATGTACCAGAAAATCCTTGCTGGTGATTAACCTACAACTTATTATATAGTTTTTTTTCTTAAAAAATCTTTTAGTGTTATGCTTACTAACTGAAAAAGTAATCAATTACTGAGAATCTTGAGATCAATATGATTGAAACTATCAAGAGATATATGATAGTTTTAAGGTATTGACTTGATAATATTGTCGACCATTAACAGTCATTGGATATAGTAGTACTATTGAAACTATCATGATAGGTCTAATGATTCTCACTGTTATATATAGTAGTACTATTGGGATAACTCTTTTTTTTTTCCCTTAATGCATATCTAAACCAAATGAAATTCATGATACTTTTATATAGATTATCGGTATGTTCTTTTGCTTCTAACAATTGTTATGCTGGACTTGAATTTATATTAAACTAGAGCAAAAAGAAGTCGCAGCATCTAAGAAGCCTGGGGAGCTCCTAAATTGGGATGATATGCAAAAGATGAAATATTCCTGGAATGTAGTATGTGAAGTGATGAGACTCACACCAACTATTCGAGGAACATTTAGAGAGGTCATGACAGATTTTACTTACGCTGGTTACACCGTTCCCAAAGGATGGAAGGTATATGGATACTTATTTGTTACATTAATTTTGGATATAAATTTTATTGATTGAAATTTTGTCTTTTAATATTTATTAATTTATTATTATTCATATAACATGATCTAAATTTAAAAAATCATTAATATGAGTTAATTTTATTGGATTAATATAAATTGTTTGAAAAACTTAAATTATAAGATTTGAGACTTCGGTTTATAGTCGATGTTTTGACCCATTTTACTAAAAATCCGGGTTACATCCCTGCTCTTGACCATCATGATTTGATAAGAAAAATAATTTTGCAGCTATATTGGACAGTGGATTCAACAAACATGAACCCTAAGTACTTCCCAGATCCAGAAAAGTTTGACCCATCAAGATATGATGAAAATAATAATTTACCTGCCTACGCCTTTACTCCATTTGGAGTTGGTCCTCGATCATGCCCGGCGAAGGAGTATTCTCGAATGGCGATACTCACTTTTATTCACAATGTGGTGAAGAAATTTAAATGGGAGATGGCAATTCCAGATGAAAAAATAACAGGCGACATGATGCCCTCTCCAGAACAAGGACTTCTAATCCGTCTTTATCATCACTAAATCGTTAAAGTTTCCATTAATATATATGTCAATACTACCGTGATGTTATTAGAATAATATTAACGATTGGATTGATACTTGTCGAAAAGACGATCATTAATCCACGTTTAAGATGGTCTGTTTACATCATGAAAATGATATACATATGTTTAGTGCTTTCAATAAACTTGTAATTGATGCTTATCTTGTCTAATGACGTTATAAAAATGATACAAGTGCTTGCCATTATATGTCAAATAATGAACTTGTAATTAATGTTTATCCTGTATTTAATTAATATAACGTGTCAAGTTTGCCCCCGTTGTTTTCTAAAAAATCATTTAACCCTCAGTTTCTTAACTAGTTCCAACCTGGGTACCCAGATCTCGGTTCCAATTTTAATTCTTGGGTCAATTCCAGTTCCTTGAACTGATGGAGTCAGAATTGATGCTAGAATCACACAATACCAAGTCCACCTAATGAGGAACCAGAATCGACCTTGTGTGGGCTAGTTCTGGGTAGGAATCGGAATCGGAACCAGAACCTCGGGTACCAGCTGGTTCTGGTTCTACCCTAAATTCTTGCGAACCCCTACTATAAATGTAGCTTTCGACTTAATGTGGCCCGTTATTCATTGAAATTTACATTTTGACCCCCCAGAAAACATTTTCTAGCTCCGAACCTTGCTACGTTTGCCCTTTAAACAAAATCTTGATATTTTAGGAATTAAGATGAGTGAGGATCAATATTGTTAAACCTTACCCAACCCTTCACCCGATCAAAGGGCTGGTCCCCGGGTCAGACGGTCTAACTAATGACGTAGCATATCCAACAAGTTTGAAATCCAACAAACATACCCTTGAGAAATTATACATCAGTCCTTGTAGTTTTGAAATCCAGTAAATACACCCTTGTGATTTGGAAATGAAAACCCTAGCCATTATGTAAATTCACAAGCATAAGACTCTAATTTGGCACGTGCAATTCAAGCAATGACTTAATCTCTCTTTCTCTCTATTTATCTTTCCTCTATATTTTACTTTTCCAAACCCAATCAGCGATCATCGTCGCTATTGTTTTTGTTCGCGTTGCAATCGTATGGTCTTTGATCACTTCTACTCTTGATTGTAATATCCCAATTCAGGTTTGTTTGATTGTCATTCGAAGCGACAGGAAATCAGCTTGAAGACAAGTTGTCACGCGAACCAACAAGTGGATGATTGACAATCATCAGGTGCACTTGGCCGAAGATGGTAGGGGTTTTGTCGTGGAGGTGAACGTGATGTCGATGGTGGTGTCAGGTGGGTGCAATGATGCCGAAATCAGGTCGATATGATAGGGATTTTAGTAACTTGATCTAGTCACTAGGCTTGTTGAACAGGCAGTTCGACACTGTTCCGCTAGTTCACCCACAGGTCAATCTGGGCTAATGGTTGAAATTGAGTTTAGGGTGTCCTTGGACAAGAGAAGGGGCCGATCAATAGTCGGATCGGTCCGGTCGGTTCAATCCAAGTTTCAAAACACTAGTGAGGATGATTATGGGAGTGTTTGTCTAAGTTTATAAGCTGGTCAAACTAGCTTATAAGCTCTAAAATTAAGTTGACATGTTTATTTATAACTTTTTTGAACTTATAAATTGAGCTTATAAGCAACCAAAAAAAAAAAAAATTAAAAAAATTAAAGGTTTTTTTTTTTTTTTTTTTTTTTGCTTATAAGCTAGTTTGACTAAGTGTATTACCACATTATCCTTGTTTAATTTTAAAACTTCATAGTATACCCTTGTTTAATGTAGTACCTTTTTTAGTCATTTTATAATAAAATTTACTCATAAGTTACATTTTACCAAACACGTCAACTACTTATCAGTCACTTATAAGTGCTTTAACCAAACACGTAATTGCTTAAAATTTCAAATGCTTATAAGCTAAAATTAGCTTATAAACACTTGTTGCTTATAAGCTAATTTTCATAAGCTCAGACAAACATCCCCTACGTATGAGAATATTTTAAAAGAAAAAAAAAATAAAAATAAGAAAACCAGAAAGAGGAAAGTGAATCATAATATAGGGAAACTTAATTAAATTTAGTTGTATTTTTTGACAAATGATAAGAAGTAGAATTAAAATTTTCAAAGATAGATAACAATTTTTAATCCAACAAGTAAAAAATAAATTTTAAAAAGTTCAGATAATTTAAAACGATTATCAAATCTTTGGGATAATAAATTCTTGTACATATTAAAAAACTAAAAACTGGGAGAATTAAGTTTTGTAAGGAGGGGCATAAATGAGGAGGTTAAAATGCAAGGGATCAAAATGAATTGTAAAATTTAAGGGGTGGACATGCCCCCTTTCTCGTAACGTAGGTCTGCCATTGCACGTGGGTGGGTAGAGAACTAGAGAGGCAGAGTTGGGTTTAACTTCTTACGCGTAAAATTATCCGAGGACCAGACCAGGACTAAAGATATATAATTAAATTCGATAATTTATTTTTAATTTTATGTTAAAAACAGGTGTATAAAAAAGATAATACTATTTTTTCTTGGAAAATCAACTTAAGATATAACTTTTACAGATTAGACAAAGCATGTAAATAAAGTCATATAGAAAGTGTGGCATAAAAAGATAGAAAGAAAAATTACACTTTTTCAAATAAAAAAGAAAATCAATAAAAATTAAAAATTAAACATCAGGAAAGGTTTAAAACATCGAATAATAATTAACTTTTCTTAAAATTTGGACTCTGTGTAGGTAAATATTAAAGTACAAAACTTTTAGTTATTTAATATCAAGAAAATTTCACTAATGTTTAAACATCCGCCAGAAAAAAAAAAAAAAGGAACTATATTAAAAATCATCCCAGTAAATCAATCAAACATTTATTTGAGAGGGCCATTCATTATTTATTATATGGATTAAATTGCACATGCATTTAAATTTTTTGGGAGCCATTTTTGGAACGAACCGAACTGGAAAATCGGACCGAAACCGAATTGAAAAACCGATTTTTTAAATTAACCGGTTCTGTTTCGATTTTCAAAAATAGTCAAACCGAATTTTCAATTCAATTCGGTTAACAGGACAATATTAAACCGGTTATCTAAAACCGGTTTTGAAAAAATAAAAAAATAAATATCCCTCTTGTTTTTCTCCACTTTTTCTTGGTATTGGGTAAGCAAATTGCAGACTGCATTATGCTTCTCTGCACATTTTCTTGGGTATGCTTCTCCACTCAAATATATATTTTTTTCGTCTTCTTCTCCTTTCACTACTTTCTCTTTCTTTTCAGACTTTTCAGTTTTTCTTCACCAATTTCTCTTTCTTTTTCGTCTTCTTCTCTTACTCTCCTTCACCAATTTCTCTTTCTTTTTCGTCTTCTTCTCTTCCTCTCCTTCTCCACTTTTCCTTTTCTTTTTCGTCTTCTTCTCCTTTCACTTTTCTGTTTCTTTTTCTTTTTCATCTTCCCCATTTCTTCTCTTTCACTGCTTTTCTGTTTAGATTTGGATAAGAGGCGAGAAGAGAACGCCATGATTGGACTTCAACCTTCTTCTTCTTCGATGGTTTGGTAGGATTTTAGCTTTAGGGTTTGTTTGGAAGCTCAGACCTCTGCATTTTTGTTTATGAGATGTCTCAATGAGACTAAGTGAGACTGATTCTGTGTGTCTCTTCAGGTGTTGGTTTGTGTAAGCACTGGATTCTGATTTGGGGTATTTGAAATGGCTGTGAGGCGCCCATTTGATGTCTTGCTATTCTAAAGAGTCTAATTTCAAATTTTATTAAAATCGGTTTATAAACCGATTAACCGATAACCGAATCGAATTATCGTTTCGGTTAATAATTAGTTCAAAGGATAATTCAGTTTGGTTTTGATTCGAATTATCCTCTTAACCAAAAACTGGTTCGGTTTGAAAAATGTGTAATCGACCAGATTTCCACACCCCTAGATCTTGGGCCAGGGTTTTAGAGTGGATTGGCCTCTTTTAAGATATCATCCTTTCCAAGTTTTCAACTTTGCTGTCCTTTCAATATGTTTAATAAAAGATTTTACTAGTTTTTATTAATTAAATCTTTCATAATCATTGTAAATCTTAAATTCTTCATATTTCTTCTATAATACGATTATTTGAGAAACAATACAAATTTTTTTATTCAAACGCTAGGCATCATGTTATTTTCAGAATATATTTTATACGACATTCATTTAATATACACAATAATGGCAAGTTGAGTGCTTGTTGTTAGCTATTTAATTTCTTTGTTAAATCAACATATCATATGGATTATTTTTGAGCAAATTAAAAGATAAGTGTCACTCTCACCTTAAATATTAAATCAAAATCTTATTATTGTCATTAATTTTTGGATTAATAACATTAGTCCTCCTTAAATATGATAAAATTATAAAAATTCCCTTGAAGTTTAAAAAATAATAGAAATTCCCGTGTCATTAAGTTTCAAATATCAATACAAATTCATCATCAATATCACCAATCTTCAAGCAAATAGGTATCAATACAATAATCAAAAATCTATTACACCAATTACATTTAACAAACATACTAAATAAACTTCATAATGGACTAGATTAATTAATTAATTAATAATGATAATATAATAAAACGTAACACTTACTGGAACTAGTGACCATTCGATGAGAAACAATTTCAAAATTAATTAATCAACCAACATAATTCAAAGATTAAAGTTGAAAATGACACATAAATTAATTAACTTATATTATCACACATAATCCCATGATCTGTTGTCCCCTAGTTTCTTTTTATTAACCCAGTAATGGTCATTAAATAAGTAAATCATAAAAGATTTTGTTATGCAACCTAAGCAATATTACACAGATCCGATCTCACACATTCAACCAAACAAGAACACAAAGAACACAGAGATTACCGTAGTTCACTTATCCTTTTAGGATAAGCTACATCCACGTTGAGCTCAAGAAATGTATGAGCTCACTGCACTTACTATTACTTCAAGAAACAAGATTACAACACCCAAACCAACCAACTCAAAAACCTTACCCAGATACAAATATCCCGTAATCAGCCTCTAGAGAAACCCATTGAGAATCCCTAACCCGAGAGAACAACTGTAATACCCCGTATTTTTTTAATGGAGTTTTATTAAATTTTATTTTGTGATTCTGGGGTAAAGTGTAATAATTTGAAAGTTTTGGGGAGTACAAGGTGATAGTCGAAATAAGTGAGGACAAATTGAAAATTTTCAGATATTTTGATGAACAGTGATCATTCAA